CAACGTCTAACAATGCCATGGCTGTGGACTTGGATACAGCTTTGTTACTTCGGATGTTATTCATCACCCGCACTAGCTGGTGATTGGTGGAGTGCCCCTTTCTGAACCCAAACTGTTCCGGAAGGAGAATGTTATTTTCCTCGACAAACTTGAGCAAACGATTGAGAATGAGTTTCTCGAACAATTTGCTCAGCGCTCAAAGAAGGTTGATTGGTCTGTAGCTTGAAGGCAATGTTGGATCCTTTCCGGGCTTGCGGATTGGTATGATTTAGCTACCTTTGTTTGGAAAGTAGTGCAGTTCCAAGCATCTGTGGTCAGAAGAGACTGCACTTTCATGCTGAGTCTCTTCAAGATCAAGTTGAATATACCGTCAAACCCGGGAGCCTTCATGTTCTTGGTGCATTTCAGCGCTGAGCAAATCTGTTGTACTGTAATCATATCCGCCGGAGGCACGACTCAAGGGGAGGCATCTAGGTTTTGAACGCATTGCGCAACCTGATCTTCGAGCGGATTTGGATTTTCGAGCCAAGCAAATGCGATGAAGCGACATGCTCGCCGATCGCATTTGCTTTCTCTTGTGGGGTAATTAAAAGCCGATCGTCATCATTTTCGACTTTGAGAGGTGGAACGGGTTTGGGATGAGTTTTCAGGACCTTGGCTACCTTCCAGAATGGTCTGGAGCGGTCGTCCAGATTCTGGACAACACGCCCGAAACTTTCATTTCGGAGTGAGTCCATCCTGGATGCAATCTGCCTGTTCAGATCGGCTATTTCACGTTTTTTGCCCAGATCTCCAGTCCTCTGAAACTGGCGTCTACGAAGATTTCTCAGGCGAATCAAAAGTTGGGTGTGGGAATCAATGGCAATAAACTTACCCCTCACAGGAACTCGTCGGACGCACGCCTCGTCAGCCACGGTTATGGCTTGGTGGAGTCCCTCCAACGCTCGGTCGATGTCCTCCACGGTATCAAGCGGCGGGCTGTCGATGATGTGCCTGTCTACCACGCATCCAAACTGGGCCCAGTTTAAGCGATGGTAGTCCTTGCGCAGGCTTAAAGCAGGGGCCACGTTGCAGCCCAGTTCAGCCACCACCGGTTGGTGGTCGGAGCTGAGTTCGTTCAAAGCTACCGGCTTGGACAAGCCGATATTTGTCAGGAACAGGTCTAGCGTCGATGGGTTGCCCGCCGGTGAGTTAAATGTTGGTTCATCCGAAAACCAAACGGAGTACAGCCCATGCTGTGAGTGGTCGAACAGCAGACGACCGTTCTGGTTCTGCTGGTAGTTCCGCCAGGCCTCATGGCGAGCATTCAGATCTCCTCCAACTACGAAGCGGGAACCGGTACGGGTCATGGTGGACAGGTCCTTCTTGAATTTAGCCGCTAGTCCACTGCTGGCGGCACACTGTCGAGGGCAGTAGATGGCGATGAACTGGACGTATCCAGTCGATGACTCCACCTCCACACCAAGGGCCTCGATGATAGAGGTGCGCATATGGGACAGAGTGTGGTATTTTATTCCTTTCTTGACGACGACCGCAACACCACCCCCCCCCCCTGGAGCTGGTGCGATCAAGCCGGATAATGTTGTGGTCAGGCAACCAGAAGCTGTCGCCGAAATTTAGATGGGTCTCGGTTAGAAGGCCCACGTCGATGCTGTGCTTGCGGAGGAAGTCGGCAAGCTCAATCTTTTTTGCTCTTACAGAGCAAGCATTCCAGGTGACGATAGTTAGCGGTTTAGACGCCATACTGGATGATGAATTTACCAAGCACTTGGATCTGTTCGGGCTTATTGCGGCACTTACGAAGAGCACCGGACATGTTGACGAAAATTTCCATCAGTTCATCCGCTGAGAACAGATCGGGGTTGTTGTTTTGTGCTGTTTGTTGTCTCCAGAATCCAGGGGGGGATGGAAAGCTTTGGCCAGCAGAATCACAGGAAGTTGCTTGAGCGGGATGCACCCGCGAATTCGCTTGCCTTTGCTGAGGAGCACGAAGAGGTGGGAAATCCTCCGTCCGAAATACCGGGACTTTGTCCTTCTTGCGTCCTGGTTGGTTGTTAGTTGCCACCTGTTTTCGGATGCGTTTGAAGTCCTCGCGTTTGGAGCACTGTCTGTCAGAACCTTGGTGAGCACCACCACAGTTGGCGCATTTTAACGCCACGGCTCTATCCGCAGGGCAGTCGGAAGTGGTGTGGTCTTGGGCGCAATTGCCACAGCGTGGCTTAATGTTGCAGTTGCGGGTGCCGTGTTCAAAGTTCAGACACCGTTGGCACTGAGTCACATCACGATGGCCGCCACGGTATGGCTCCCAGCGGACGATGATGGAATTGATGGAGCGGATGGCCTTCAGCGCGTTGAGCGTCATCGTTCCCTTCTGGAAGTGTACCAGGAAAAGGCTATCCGGATACGCCTTCATATTTTCGTCCTTCCTTGTCATCCGATAGACGGCACTTGGGGCCAGCTTGTACCGGTCTCTGATTTCAGCTTCGATAAACTTCGGGTTGAAGTTTGGTAGGCTCCTAATGACGACCGCGTGAAGAATTCCACCTTGGAAGTCCTCAGGTGGGCAACGACCAAGTCATACTCCGCTTTGGTACGGAGCACCACCTTGGTGCCGACTCTGCCCAACTTGTATTCGGCTTTAACGCCTAGCGTCGCTTAATCTGCGAGGAGCTCATTAAGATGGGCATTTTTCACTACCAATGGAGGTAGCTTCACTTTTGCCGCACTCGGGCCGGCAGAATTTTCGTTGCCGATGGCGTCGCCGAAATCACCGATGTCGCTGGCGTTCGTCGCAGTGACATCGGACTGGCCTCGATTCTTCTTTCTTTTCTTGCTGCGTTTTTCCAACACAGCTGGCTGGATATTCCCATCCATGGGGAGAACAGCAAACCTGTTCGAGGTAGGCACACCGGAGCTTCCTTCACCGGAGTTCTGGACCTTCGCCGGGCTTCGCGACCGATGTTTCCCCATTTCGGGGCACACACACACGCACGACAAACCACGAAAGAGAGAGGCGAACACTATCGCCACGAACTTTTCAAACAACTCGAGAGAGCGAGCTAACACCGAACTGAACTGCTTGACGATCAAGCAGAGAATGAGTAAAGATGATGCTTATTTTGACCATGAATACCTCTTTTATACCTACTCGAAGGCTAAATTCTTCTTGCAAGTTGTTGCATTTTTGTTCTTTCATCGTTTATGATTGGTTTAACATAACAAAAGTATGTTATTAAATAGAGGAGAAAGCGGTTGACATTTTTATTCAACGTGTTCGATTCTTCGTATCTGCACCGTAACTAAGCACAATGGCTCGTACCTAGCAGACCGCTCGTAAGTCCACCGGAGGAAAGGCTCCTCCTGAAATCGCCCAGGACTTTCAAGACCAATCTGCGTTTCCAGAGCTCGGCCGTTGCAGGAATCCAGCAAGGGGTCGGTCTGTTCGAAGATACCAACCTGTGCGCCATCCACGTCAAGCGTGTCATAATTATGCCAAAGGACATTCAGCTGGCAAGAGACTTGGGAAGGAAATTTCAGCTGCTTTCACTGATCCTGATCTTAAAATTGCAACTAGCAAGTGCTCTAGAACCAAAAGCGGTGCGATGCTAGTTTTCATTGCTGTGACGTCGACTGTAAGGGGCTTAGAAGCAGAAGGGTGAAAGCCAATTCTCTATCGATTTCCTCTTTTGTGATCACCATACCATGGCTTCACTAACCTATTTCGCACTATTTCTGCTGCTATTCTCTTCTATCATCCACAACAACAATGGTATCAATGAATGTTTGCCGTCGAGTTAACGTTATACGACCTTCTTAGTTGCTCCTCCGTGAATGATCAGAACTTATCAACTTGCACAATGTGGTTGTTGCTAGAGAACGAGAATTCCTCAACATCCCCACGGATGTCTTGGGAAGGATTGTGTTAGTGATGTAGGTTATTGATGCGATCGGTTAAAGCAGAATGTGATTTTATTATAATCTAGTGGGGATATAACGGCGCCGGTGGTGTAGTGGTAAGCGTGATTACCTCTCACCCCAGCAGGCCTGGGTTCAATCCCAGTCGGCGCCGCCGGGATGTTCTTGAGGCATAACATCTCTGATCACGCCTTCCTTCGGATGGGAAGTAAAGCCGTTGGTCCCCGGTTCATGAGTTGATGGGTCGATAGGTAGGGTCCAGGTGTGGGAGCTGCCTTCCTGGCACGTCGGTAGCATTGGTGCTCAGCAAGGAAAACAAGATCGACGGAAAAAACAAACCAAAGGAAATAAAAAAATAGTGGGGATAGGATAAGGCAAAGTGAAAAATTTTAAGGATGGGGACGGGCCTGGGATTGAACCCCTACCTTCTGCTCAGTAAGCAGAAACGGTAACCACTGAGCTACCGAGCCTCGTCGTAATGCTACATCGACATGTTTCGTCTAGGAATGATTCTCTCATGACTGTGTTGGGAAAGCAGCATAAGCATGTACGTAATTGGTCGATTTATTAGTTAATTCGACGCTTTTGGACATTGATGGACATTTAACTCTTTTTCAATAGTTACAAATCAACAGTCAAAATCGATGCATAGAAATATGGCTGATCGATTGGTGATAAAATTATTGAAATTGGACCAGGGGCAGCTGAGTTATTAACGTTCAAAATTTTTTTATAATTTTGTTACATGTTCCATTTACGGTTTTCACAAAGTGTACCCCTATATAAAAATCACAGACGTAGTCCTGACTATTGAGCTGAACACTTAACCCAGGTTTTTCAAGACACAAATTCGGTTATACTGACATTGGACTATAACTCTAAGCCACATACATTTTCTAAACTATCCCAAATTCAATCACAAGTGAGACCGAAATTCAGTCTTTTGAATCCAACGTTAGCCCTCGAACTAATGATACCAGTTTTTACCAAAGTCCGTTTTTGATTGGCAATTCTATGTCGATCTTAAAAAAATAAACTCACACTGAAAATAAAAAAAAACTTTCCCATTTTCTCTTCTCTTTCAGACTCCAGCCACCAGATCACGTTGCAACTAGCCGAGTGCAGAACGCGGGCCAAGATTTATGAAACCAATTTAGCAAGCAATCTAGATGAGAGCAAAAGTGCTAGAAAACCCATATAGAAAAGCAAACTAGCAAATTCCAACTTCAACTATTCGTTTCAACAGTTCGTTTTTTTCCCTCTCTGCTCCAAACCATCCAGATCTTACATTCGTTCGTTTCAAACCAAACTCGGCGCTGACGGAGCCGAGATTGTAGAATATCGTGGCAAGCACCGACTACAACAACAACGTTTTGCCGCAAAGTGCTATGCTTGGCAAAGCAAGCAAGCGAAAAAAAATAATTGCTGTGCTGAAAGTGAGAACAACGTGAAAATTGCATAAAAAAGCAAACGGCAGAAAAATTCCCATAAAATTCACAACCCTCCGACAAGAGAAGCAGTCAAGTCCGCGGTGTTAAAACTAGTGAGAGTGGGAAATTAATGGGATAAAAATTGTATCATCGAGCACTCGAAAACCCGGTGCACGATTGTTGCAGTGAAGTGAAGCACGGGTCGGCATAAAGGGAAATAAATAAATAAATATATTAACGAAAAATTGGTGGGATCAAGTCGATGGTTGCGTAATGGGTTGTACCGGCAGCGAAAGAAGCGTTTCATCTATTAGATAATTCACCGCAGCGGCCGGGAAGCCATCGTCACAAAAGCTGAAAGTGAAACGGGTCTGGGAAAATTTGGAAGCCAAGCCCTCAGCGAGTGAAATAGAGCAATCAAATCGACCGGTTGACGGAAGCGAGTGTTTGAAGAAGAAGTGGAAAGAGGAAGCCATTGTTGTGCGTTGCGTGGGCGGAGTGAGTGGTGTGGTAGAATGATTATCTATATAATATGCATTTTGCACATTGTCCAAGTGATGCCGCTGTTTTCGGTGTGAAAAATTGGAGCAGTAATTACTGTAATAGTGGCTGCGGTCTCGACGAGTGACTCAACTGACGACGACAGTCCACGGCGCACCTCCCCCTGCGGCCACCATTGAATTAGGTAAGCGTTGGGAAGTTCTTTTTTTTGCAGCATTCCTTTTTTCTTCGTGGTGTGAGATAATGGGAGCTACTATCTGGCGTTTAGTATTGTTGAATCTCGAACGAGATAAGCGATGCAATTAGTGATGCTTGTACAAAATATTTCAGGCTGTAGGAGAAAGGTAGATACATTAGGGTTGTCATGACCGGTTCTGCTCTTTGACGAGTGGCAGTACTTCGATACTGACGAGCTCAGTAGTAGTAATTTAGAAAAAAATCTAGTCAATTTAAGGATCTAGGTTAAATTTAGTTGACTTTCTAGAGCAGTGGTTTTCAACCTTTTCTGTTCTATACACCCCTTTCCAAAAATTGCTCACCACCGTTTCCCCATCCATAGTTAAAACTTAGATAGCATACGCCTTAATCTTTACAGTGAGGGTTCGATTTTGGAAACACGTTTCCATTATCTTCATGCCAAATATTACACTTAACTTTATATTCTACTTAGTTATTCCGCAACATTATGCATATTTGCACATGTTCAGATAATCATGTTTATGATTATTAAAATTTGTGGAACGCAGAGGAACGACACTCATTCTGATGCATTTTATATAAAAAAGACTTGGCTGCGCTGCGATGCCATGCGAGTGGGATGCACAGTGGTGCTAAAGACCAAATCCATGAACTTTTTTCATTAGCACCTTTTACAGTGGTTTTTTCAATAAGGTGTCTTCAGAAGAGTTTTTTTATAAATGACAAAACCCATTGAATGAAGTTAAGTTTTAGTTCGAAACTTCACCACAGGTGGTGCTGCAAAATCTAACTTTTTAGTATGACCAGATAGAGATATAAAGTCTTGAGCTAAGTTGTAGGTTGCTTCATAACTAAAAACTTTGTACAAAACGCCATGTCTCTATCTGCTTGCGATTTTGTGTTATGAAGCGTTTTTTATAGAAGGGCCTCAAAAATCCGTTTTTTGTAAATATTTCCGAAATTATTTGTTTTAGATGACTATAATGTTCTACAACTTTTTAAAAATCAATAAAATACACAAGACACAAGACAAGACAAGACAAAAAGGTTCTATTTGCAAAACAGAAAATATTATAGGCAATATCAGCTCAAAAATAGCCAAATTTCAAGCATCCACAAACTTCAAAGAGGCAATATGATGAAACTATAGTGAAAATACTATCATTTCATCTAGTAGTCATTTGTATCCCGTTGTATCCATGTGAGCTGTTTGTTTGTTTTTGACATGCCAAAGCAACCCATGATTGCCATTTTTAACTGTCATTCGAGCGTTATGGTACAAAACGTTCGTTGCATTTGCGTTCATCAGAGTAAAGCCGGTTACTGTTCAAAAAATTCTGATTCTCGGATCTAAAGTTGTGGAAAGCTTTCTAGTTCCAATAGGCCAATTGTCGGAACAGGCGCAAGAAAGTCGTAATAAAGACTTATACCCCGTACAGACTATGGCTTATATCATGTAATATAGGGCATGTGGCTTGCAATGAGGATTTCCTGTGAAAACTAGATGATATAAGCCGTCTGTACAGGGTATTAATATTTGCTTCTATTATTCTACGGCTGGTGTGTCTCAAAAGAGCCTCAAGTTTTACTTCAGCTGAAGTTTCTGAGATCAGCAAGGATTCTTTTACGGGGTAACAACTTCTCTTTGCATCCAACACTTTGTGGTATGAAGGATAAAGGATTGCGTTGCATTGAACGGCATCTTTATGCAATCTTTCATATTGATTTTCGACCGATTCAGATCCATGACAAGAGCTTCATTATTTGTAAACGGAAAAAGAGATTAAGAAACTTAACGTTACAATGACGACACTTGCGTTGCTCTTGATGGACTTCTTTGTGTAATATCTGGCACAATAGTCGCGGAATCGTGTTTACCCTCCTCTCTTAGTTTCATTTGAGTAGCATATGCCAATTCAGCCGTTGGATATTTGCTCCTTAAATCCGATGTCTTCCGTATTTTTACAACTTCGCTGCTGTCTTCGAATGCCAGTAACTTTCTGCCACGTTTAGCAGGTGAGGATGACGAAGGAGGCATTCGTCAATATTTATATTAATACTTTTCAAAGGAAGTTTAAACGGGCTTTTAAAGTAATCGTTGCTATATACTTTTTCTTAGGTTCGGTTATGTTTTTGCCATAGCTTTTTAAAATATTTACACATCAATAGTACAATTTGTTTTGCTTCTATGACAGCTGCTACCATGAGCTCAGGTTCAATTCAAAGTAAATCTGGACGCACGGTTTAATACACCACCTGGTGGTTGGAACAAAAAACATTTCACAGGCATTTGTTGATGTTTCATTGACGAAGAAATTGGTGAAAAGTTTTCCTCGATTGATCGACGCATCCCGAAATTACGGATCATGGAACTTGAGAAAAGAAAATTAATTGTGCACAAACATCTAGAGGACCCTTCGTGGTCTGCCTCAAAAATAGCAAAAGTGTTAAAATTCCCAAAGTCAACGGCGAGTCTTGTAATCAAACGTTACAAGGATACTCTGAGTGTGGATAGAGCACAGCACATCTATCATAAAAGTGGCACTAGGGACAAAGAGCTGAGGAGAAAGGTGTTGAGGTACATGATTTGGCAAAGAAATACGATTCCAACTTTTCCACCGTGCGTAACATCCTTTCAAGAGAAGGATATAAGTCTTTTTGTGCCAGTAAACATCCGAATCGCTCCCTGAAACAAAATTTAGTGGCCAAAAAGCGAGCACGATTATTATACGAACGAGTTTTGACGAAATTTGATGGCTGTATTTTAATGGATTACGAAAAATATGTCAAAATGGATTATAAACAAATCCCCGGAATTACCTGGCAACTGGTCGTGGGGATGTCCCTTTCAGGTATAAATTTGTTTTTGCTGATAAATTTGCTCGGAAACTAATGATTTGGCAAGGAATCTGCAGTTGTGTCCTTAAAACCAAGGTTTTCATCACATCTCACACAATGACGTCGAAGGTTTACATTAAAGAGTGTCTGAAAAAGCGGGTTTTACCCTTCATTCGGCAACATAAGACCTACGTTATGTTTTGGCCGGATCTAGCCAGCTGCCACTACTCTAAGGAGGTACTAGAATGGTATGCTGCAAACAATGTTAATTTCGTCGCCAAAGAGATTAATCCTCCGAATTGCCCTGAGATCGATCGACAAATATTGAGCAATTGTCAAGCGAAAATTTCGAGGATGCGGTAAAGAAGTGACAAATGCGCAACAAATGCAGCGAAAGCTGAATAAATACCCGTTTTGATCAATTAAACTCGTCTGAGGTTGGGTTTCTTGCCGGTAAAATCATACCTTGACGAGTGGTCCTCTCCGGAGGTTTAGAGACAAGAAGCGTATTCAGTGGTCGAGATCTCGCAGGCTGAGAGTCCTGCGTTACAATCTATCCTGCATGACAGTTGCAAACCTCTTTATAAAAAAAATGTAGCAGAAAAAGTGTGAAATCGGTTGGTAAAGCCGTGATTATCAAAAGAGAAGGTCGATGAAGAGAATCGATCAAAATCACTTTTACCCCTTGGCCTCTAACCCCCTCAACTTAGTGTTCCTTGAGCACTTCCGATGCTGTTAATGGAGAGCTTTCTTAGCCTGCACCATTTTTCAAGCGCAATCATACCCTAGTCCCAAGGAAGTCGGGAAGTTTTCCAACCCGAAAAATTCTTTGACTGGACCGGAATGAGAATACAGCCACCTCCAAAATGGTCATAATTTTAGCTGTGCTTCTTTATCCACAAATCTAAGATACCATCAGATTTTTGGAACATATATGTTTTCTTCAGACCTAACCAACAGATTTCAAATTGTTAACCAAGCTCCCAAACTTGGTGAGAGCGGAAGCGAGAGAAGATTCGATCAGCGTTGCCAGATATACCGATTTATCGGTATTTATACCGATTTCCGAACTAGATACCGATATACAGATAAGATTCCTCAGTATACCGATGTTTGAAATTGTGTACCGATTTATACCGATTTTTTAAATGATAAACATTATTATTGCCTACACGCGCTCGAATTTTGGAGAAAATTACTGTGAGAGACTTTTATCTTTTTGAATAACTCAAATTTTTGAGCCCTCAAAATCCTTTAAAAAAATCATATTTGAAAATGTCATATGCTTGATACTCTTTTGACTAATGTTTCCATTTGTTCGCCGTTTTTGGCTACCCATGAATCGAGAAACTGTCGATGGCTCTTTCAGGTTATTTTTAAACATTATTTAACTTTCTAAAGTGTTTGTTGATTTTTTACTTCCTGAATTTTCTACCAACTTTCGTCTAGAATTGTACTCCACCTTACACCATTACTTATTTTTCGATTCCTCCCGAACACTTATTTCAACTTCCCTTGGAAGCTTCTTCAGCCATCGCTCGAATGGTTCTTCCGTTTTCTCCCACCTGTTTTTTCAACTTCCCCTGAACTTCAGGATGTTTATTGCGGATGCACACTAGGTGCAGGAACTTTTAAAAAGTTTTGGAACTTCAAAAAAGTCTAGACTTTTGAGTAAGTTCCGATAAATTAAAGATAGTTTCATGAACTTCTGTTCAAATTCCAAAACCCGAACATTTCAGGAAAGTCCAGTGAACTGCAGACTCCAAACTTCACAAGTTCAAAGAACTTTAGGGAAATTGAATGGTTTTCAGGAAAGTTTCATTTGTTTCAGGGAATTGAAAGAACTTTAGGGAAGCTCCGTGAACATCAGAACAGATCAATTAATTTCAAGGAAATGCTGATATTTTAAAGTTTCAGAAGTTTCTCTGCAATCTACCCTAGGAAGTGTCTGCCAGCGTCTTCAGGAAGTTTATTCCGTCTTCTTCTGATAGTGTGTCCATAAGCCATAGGTTTTCGACTTTTATTGGAAGGTTTTTCAGAGCTTCTTCTGGCTTCCCCTAGAACTGGCTACTTCTGGAATTTACTTCCATTTTCCGACTTCCTTTGAATGTGATATCCAATTTTTTTTCCGATGGTTTCTTTGAATAT